CGGTAGCCGGTCGCAAGATGGCGGCGAGCGTACTGGCATGATCTCCGTACGCGAGCTATTCATAGCGACGCGATCGTCGCCGTCGGCTCAATGCAGTTTCGATCTCCAAGTAGTAGCATGGCGCGGCTCGCAGCACGCGAAGACGCATGCAAGCTCCTCGCGCAGAGCCTCAACGAGAAGGCGTCTTACGATGAACTCATGGACGAGCACCGCAGCGCATGCCAGTGCTGGTCCGTCCTCCTCGAGGTACTCCTACTTCCATGTCCATCACGCTAGCCTTCTCATGTGCGCAGGGCCTGCATGTGCCCTGCCTCGACCTCCCGCACGCCTTGCATCATGGCAAGGGCAGTGCGACAAAGCGCGAGCTACGAGACACGATGCTCTGGCTCCATCCCATGACGCTCCAGCTCTGCTTCTCCAGTGTCCACGAGTACCACGACCGCATCCCGCGCCTCCCGCTCGCCCATGTACGCTTCGTCCAAAGCGGCCGCGTCATCAGCACGTCGACAAAGGCGCCGCCCCTCATGCCGTACCCGTGCCTCTCGCTCACAACCTACCACGGCGACGTGGTGCACATTGGCTTTGCCACGTCACAGCTGCGCGACTACGTCGTCGAGATGCTCAGCGAGATCGTCCAAGTCGTCGACGTCATGGCGCGCGTCCAGGACCACGTATCCTCGATCCTTTCCGCCTCCTCCTATCTTCTTCTCTCGCTAGGTCGCGCAGCACCTCAAGCGTCGCGACTCGGTCGGAAGCAACAACGCAATCGCCTCGACCGCGTGGACGCCCCATGACCTTGAACTATGGCTGCACGACCGGCAGCTCGCGCCGCTCTACGTGCCGCTGCACGCGCACCTCTCGCTCGCGTTCGAGGTCCATGGCGACGCGTACGAGCGGTTCCTCTACCTCAGCGACGACTCGATCCAAGCCATCATTGCGAATGAGAGCAACCAAGAAGGCGCCGCCGTCGCCGAGCTGCGGTGCGCGCTTGGCACGCAGCTGCAGCTCGCGCGGGACGCCAAGGCCAAGCTAACAGCTGCGACCAATTCCACCAAGCGACGAAAGCCTTCCCTGCGGTGGCCACTGCGCTTTGCATAAGCGAGCAATAAGAACCGTGACGAGGTCTGTCGTTGCAGTACAACTCGGATTCTCCTACGCGAGCACGGCCAGCATGTCGGCGACCGACGTGAACTTTTCCCGGGGCTTGCCGACCGCCGCGCCCGCGGCTTCTTCCGCGGCTTCAATCCGGGCGTAGTCGGCCCACGTCACGACGCGGGTGGTGGCGGCGAGCGTCGCATGCAGCTCGTCCGCGGGCTTGGTCGGCGCCGGCAGCGTCGGTGCGTCGGCCATCAGGCTCGCAACTGTGTCCCGGGCGTCGTTGATGTTGGTGCCAATGATGCCGGACGGGCCGCGCTTGACCCAGCCGGCGCAGTAGAGTCCGAGGACCGGCGCTTGCGTCGCGACATCCACGATGCGTCCCGAGATGTTGGAGAGCACGTTGCGCTTCGTGTCGAACGGGACATTTTCGAGCGGCTGCGACTTGTACCCGATGCTGCGCAGGACGAGGCCGCACGGAATGACTTCAAACGCGCCCGTTCCAGTCGCACGCTGCTTGTACGCGTCACCGTCGAGCGCGTTGACTTCGACCTTGATGGCGCCGACGCTACGCAAGCCCGTCGTCGCCGCTTGCACTGCAGTGGAAGAGGCACGTACCGCGTCGGGTCGTTGGCGTCGGGGAGGAAGGCAACGGGCGAGAGGAGGAACCGGACTTGGATCTGGCGGTCGCGCGCCGCATGCACCGTGTGCTCCTTGGCCACGGTGCCTACTCTTCGCATTGAGGTCAAAGGAAAAGACTGCCGAGGTCGTACTGAGAAGCTGGTAGATGCGCTTCTGCGCACGCGTCTCTTCAATCTCCTGGAGCGACGATGGATTGAGGCCGGCGTTGAGCTCGATGGGGTCGACGACGCACGCTGCATCTTCGAGACGCGTGATCTCGCGGAGCTCCTTCATCGTGAACGCTGCCTGGGCGACGCCGCGACGACCGACGAGCAGCACCTTCTTGATGCCTTTGGCTGCAAGCGCATCGAGCGCATGCTGGGAAATGTCGGTCGACGCGAGCTCGGCCGGCGACTTTGACAAAATGCGCGCGCAGTCGACGGCGACGTTGCCTTGGCCGATGACGACGGCCGTGTCACCGTTTAAGGGCACGTCCAGGTCACGGAACGACGGGTGGCCGTTGTACCAGTTGACAAACGACCGCGCCGCCATGACACCGGTGAGGTCTTCGCCGGGGATGTTGAGTTTGCGGTCGTCGGACGCGCCGGACGCGAGCACGACCGCGTTGTAGTACGGCTTGAGCGCATCGACCGAGACATCGGCGCCGACGCGCACGTTGCCGAGGAACGTAAAGCGCGGGTTCGAGGCCACGTCGTTGAAGTCGTTCATGACGTTCTTCACTTCGGGATGGTCCGGCGCGACGCCCGAGCGCACGAGGCCTACGCAGTGCGCCATGAGATGCCTGCTCGGCGGCGACGACGAAGAAGAAGGAGGGACCATAGGGCGTCGGGAGCGCTTCGAGCATGTCGATGTGCACGCCAGCATGCTCCTTCAAGAGGTACTTGGCCGTGTAAAAGCCGGCGGGGCCCGAGCCAACGATGCAGACGCGCTTCAAGTCATCGGCCTGCACGCTCATGCAGCGGAAGAGGCCATGCGGGCGGCGCGCGGTCGCGGCCATCGCGCGGAGCGAGCGGCCGTGGTGCATCATCTCTGCAAATCCGGATTTGCGGCGCTGGGTTCGATGGCTATCATGCGGCCATTGGTAGAAAAGTTGTCAAGCGCTAACGCTGATTGGTCCGTACGTCGAAATCCACGCGATCGATCGCGAATGCACCAACGTTGGAGTGATCACAATGCCAGAGGCAGAATACGGTACCATCACCACCCAGCATCAAAGCTCGGAGCAAGGTCTCCTGGACGTCAGTGGGTCAACATGGTCTGTGCATACCGGCGTGGGGAGCTCCAGCTGCGGCCTCTTCGGGCGACAGCTGCATGGAAGGCTCCGAGCTCAACCAACATGCGCTGGACGCTCGCAAGATGCAACGCATTGGAAATACATCGTGTTGCAGTTAGTAGCTGCTACACTAAAGCGACGACGGGAGGCCGCGGCTTCAGATCGGGACGGCCTCGCCCTTGGAGGCGTGGTTGGTGTAGTACTCGCCGACCTTGTCCCAGTTGACAACGTTCCAGAAGGCCGAGATGTACTCCGGGCGGCGGTTCTGGTACTGCAAGTAGTAGGCGTGTTCCCAGACATCCAAGCCGAGGATCGGGATCATCGAGATCTCCGAGTTGGGCATCAACGGGTTGTCCTGGTTGGCGCTCGATGAGACGGCGAGCGTGCCGTCGGCCTTCACGCCCAACCACGCCCAGCCCGAGCCGAAGCGCGTCAACGCGGCGGCGTTGAACTTCTCCTTCATGGCATCGACCGAGCCGAACGCCTGTTCGATCTTGGCCTTGAGCTCGCCCGTGGGGCCAGCCTGGCTCGTGCCCGGCGGCGCCATGAACGTCCAGAAGAGCCTATATGCCATCGTTAGCCATGCCGCCATCGCATTGCGCCATCGTACGTGTGGTTGTAGTGACCACCGCCGTTGTTGCGCACAGCCGGGACCGTGGCCGTCTTGACGATCTCGACAATCGACTTGCCGGCGAGCGAGGGTTCCTAAGGCAGGTGGCATGAGCGGCCATGGCCTTGCCTCGCAGGCAGACGTACCCCGGCAATGTAGTTGTTGATGTTGTTGATGTAGGCCTGGTGGTGCTTGGTGTGGTGGATCTTCATCGTCTCCGTGTCCACATACGGCTCGAGGGCTTCGTAGGCGTACTTGAGGGGCGGAAGGGTGAAGCTCATCTTGGTTGCAAAAGGCAAAATGGGCTCACTTCCATCTTACGCGACGGATCGTATTTTTATGCTTCCACATACAAACATCAAGCTTGGATTAAACACCCGCATAAAACTAGGAGGATCCCTCGTGTCATCCGGATAACAAGCCGAGATTGTTCGCGACGCATACAAACACCAAGTAGAACGAACCTCGGAATTCGGCGTGTCGGCCACCTTTTTCACACGCGAGAAATGTGGTTTTCAAGAAACGCACCGGAATCAGCTTGTGCACCGGCGTCTCTCCACCGCACGCACGGTTTATACTCCCTGTATCCGGACGACGTAGCATTTTCCACATGTGGGAAACCAACGGCGAGGATCGGCGCCATCACGCGCAACGATTGGCGGAGCTAGGACCAATGAACGGGCCGCCTGACGAAAATGCGTGGCGCGCTGCGAACTTCAAGTTCGAGAACGCCCACGCGAGAGGCGGCGACGCTGACGCAGCATCCAGGATATGTGCATGAACTATAGCGTTGTGCTGCGCTCTTAGAACCAACTGGCTTAAGCTAGAGAGGGATCGACGGCGTGCAAGTGATCGAGGATGATTGCGCTCGGAAGGAACTTCGCCGTCATTCCGAGGTGGTCACGATGAGCCACACAACCTTGGTCAGCGCCGAGGTCCAAGGTTGGTCAACGAGCAACCCAAGCAGCAGCCATGCTTTGCAGACGGTCGAACCCGCTGGTCGCATCGCGATGCATCCTTCTCGTGAGCGACAACCCTTGGCAGGATCTCGGTGGAAGCTGCAAAGCTGACACGCTTTCGCCGGTAAGAGACTCAACGACATGATGCCCATGCGGCCGAGGATCGCGATCGAGACAGCGTTGCCATCGGGACGAAACTTGACGGCCGACGGAATCAGCTCCTTGATCGAGAGCGTCACCATCATCTATGTACCAGCGCCAAGACCAAGCATAGCACCCTCCACGGTCGGGTTGAGACCGTCACCGATGATGAAGAACGCGAGGATGGCGCCGAGAGCGACGACGCACAGGCCCACCAAAAGGCTTTGCAGCGGTTGCCAGTGTCAAAGTAGACTGGCGTCGCGACAGCAATGCCTTTACCAATCTCGGTGCAAGGCGGTTGTGCCACAAGGCGTTGTGCCAAGAATCCTGGCGGCGACCACGTCCTTGCGTCTGCCATGAAGGCCACATGAGCTTGTACGCCTATGCTAATGCCGAACGCGCTATATGTGTGCGTGCTGCCACTTACAAGAGCACCCGCCTCCTGACAGCTCCTCCTGACCTTGTCCGCGCTGCTCAACCTGCTGTCTTGCCCTGCAGCTTGACACGGATCTTTACAAAGTGCGTAATGTTAATAACACTTGGTAATTTGTCTCAGGCATGGTGCTTGCACAGGCCCGGCAGCAGGCGCAGAAGGCAGTGGCCATGGCCGGCGCCTCGATGGCGGCCACGGGCATCCACGTCCTCGGCGGCGCGTACCTCATTCCGACACTGCGCCTCCACGCGCCTGTCCGCGTCAACGGCGAGTACGACATGCGCCGGCTCGTGGAGCAGTCGCGCACGAACTGGAACCTCCGGGGGCCTGTCATCCTCGACTTGGCCAACGTGAGCTCGAACGGGTCGCCGCACAACTCGCCGATCCGGTCCTCGGAGCTGCGCTCGCTCATTTACGCCCTCCGCAGCGAGAACCTCCATCCGATCGGGATCACGAACGCCAGCGAAGACATCAAGGCGATGGCGTGGAAGTCGCTGCAGGTGCCGAGCATCATTAGCACACGCCTCGAAGACGATGGCGACTACGAGGCAAGCGACGCCATGAACCGCGTCGCAATGCATCAACTCATGGAAGAGGCAATGGGCCACGAAGAAGCAGCGCAGGCCATCATCGGCGAGCGCCTCGATACACCGTCGGCCCCTGCCGAAACCCCGGTGGTTGCCGCCATCGCATCGACACAGCGGGGTATGATGGTCGTCGAAGGCTCCGTTCGCACGGGGCAGCAAGTCTACGCCAAGGACCAAGGGCTCGTCGTCCTCGGCTCGGTCAACTCGGGCGCCGAGGTCCTTGCCGACGGCGACATTCACATCTATGGCACACTCAAGGGCCGCGCGCTCGCCGGTATTGGTGGCAACACGGACGCCAAGGTACGTTCCATCAACTCACGGCTACATAGCCATCTCAATCGTTCGAAGGTCTACGTGCAAAAGTTCGACGCCGAGCTCATTTCGATCGCCGATACGTTCACGACGTGCGACGCCCTCGAGGCGCGCGAGATTGGCCACGTGGTAGGACTCCCTCGCATTGAACTAGAGACATTCTCATCTCTGGGTCAACTAGGTCGACGACAAGCCCACAATCGTGTGGCTCGAAGACGGCGCGCTTCAGTTCAAGTCGGTCGTGCCCGGTCCCTAATTTTCGCCTCCAATTTCTACCAACTCGTACATATTTCTTGCATTTTGTACAAATATTTTTTGATTGAAAGTCGCCGTCGGTTAAAGCACCATGGCGCCGTAGAGGGTCGCGGGCGTCGACGGCGCAATGGAGGAGCGCAGCGCCGGGTCCTGGTACATCTCGACGGACCCGGACGTCGGCGAGAGCAGCATCGTCTGGTCGGGCGCATACGCCTTGCCGACGGCGCGCAAAAGCTGCTCCTTGTCGCGAATGTAGTGCCATAGGATCAAAATGAACGTGAGCATGAGGAGCACGACGACCGAGGTGCTTTGGTAGAGTGTGCCCCGGACGAGGAAGAAGCCGGCCATTGCGCACTGGTAGATCATGAGCGGGAACATGCTTGCGTGGGCGCTCGTCTTGGCAATTGCGCCGTTGCCCTTGATGCGCGGCCGGACGTACAGGAGCGAGTACCTCATGGAGCATATGCCATTAGTGGGCACTCGAACATGCAACCTACTTGTCGACGAGGTGCTGCATGAAAAAGTAAAAGGCGCCAAACGGCAAGATCACGGGCACGACCGTGCTGAACGCGACAATGACGACGAGGACGCTGCACCACATGCGATAGTTCGATAGCTGCACTGTCGACAGACGACGCACCTAATTTGCAACGCCGACTGCGTGCCCGTGTAAAACTTCCACGCGTCGACCGCGTACGCGTGCTCCTTTGGTGTCACGGCGCGGGACCAGCGCCACGCAAACTCGGCGCCTTCGGAAATACGCAGCATGACGACGGCTGTGCCCACAAACGCCCGCTGAATCACTAGATTCGACAGTTGAAAAATGAGACAATCGACAATAATGTACATATACCGTAATTGACAAAGAAAACACCCGAGTTGTTGAGGAAGAGCATCTCAAAGAGGTCGAGGACTTGGCCCTTGTCGAGAAAATACTGGAAGAGCGCGTTGATCGACACAAACGTAAAGCTGGGCACAAACAGCGTATTGAAAATCAAATCTACGACAGAATTTTATCATGTGACGACCTCCACCCCCAGTGAAACCAGTGGACGTACACACAGCACTGTAGTGCAGAATGCTCTTTTCCTTGGCCGAGTCGGTCGACATGGGTTGCATGCGTCCCGCGTGGTAGACGACGTTGAGAAGCACACCGTTGATCATGACAAGACTACCATGGAGTAGCATCATTGAAGAAGACAGTGAACCGCGTACATCATGGTGGGAATGTACGAAAATGTCATTTTGGCCACGACGGGCGAGAGGCCAGCGACGCAGTCTTGGACGTCAAACACGATGTCGTTGACCCACTTGGCGGTCGCTACACAAAATGCACACCGTATTATGTCGTCCGAAGGGTCCGTCCAGCGTACTCGAGTAGGCGCCGGATGAAATGGCCGATGTGACCGCCAACGGCGACGTGAAGAGAATGATAAACACCGTGAGAAACGTGTAAATCGTTGCTGTGAGCAGTGTACGCTTGGTCGACTGGTACGAGACGCACTCCCAGTCAATGTCGTCGGGCTCTGGCGCCGTGTCGAGCTTCCACTGCGTCAGTTGGAGTTCGTCGATCTTGCGCTTGACTAGATGCAATGTCAGCACATGGACGATGCGCATTTGAGTAGTACGGATGTTGTGGTATTTCTTGGGGGCGCGGGCAATCATGTGCGCGACCGACTTGTACTTGGTCTTCTTGACGAACCGCGCCTTCCATTTTGGGTCGTTGAAGATGAGGAAGATGCGGCCCGTGCCCTCGTTTTTGGCGATGATCGACGCGAGCGTGCTCGCTTCCAACCGCTTGCTGTCGGCAATGCTGGCCTGGAGCGACGCGACTTGGTCTTCCAGCGGCGCCTGGAAGCACGTCGGCTCGGGAAACCGCAAGCTTCCGGGCAGCAGTCGCAGCATCCACGGAACAGAGTTGGTCAGTTGCATGCGCAAGAGCAGTTGCAGTCGCTCGATACGATCTTCGGCGTCGATGCGTTGCTTGTGCAGTCGGCGGTACGGCCCCAAGTCGTAGACGACTGTCACGTGGCTCATGTAGCCCGGGAAGATCTAGAGATGAATGAGATGGTATAGCGTAAACGACAAAATACCTGGTCGAGGAGGTACAGGATGCGGTCTTGGGCCATTCGCTTGGGCACGCCGGACGAGACAAGGATCGAGCGGGCGCTGAGACTCGACGGGATCATGCAGAGGAGGTTTGTCTTGGCCGGGTCCCGATTGTTGCAAAGCCGCCCGAGCTTGTGGAGGAAGATGCCGTAGAAGAGCGAGAAGACGTACGTGGTAATTACGGGCACCCACAAGAGCGGCGACTTGTCGGGCAGCGACCGGATCGTGAGCGTGCTAAACGCCGACCACGGCGTGGACGCGGCAAAGACGTAGACGGGCAATAGCACAAAGAACGCAAAGCCGCTCATCGCGAGCACGAGCCGCAGGGCGTAGACCTGAAAGGTGAGGTAGAACGCGGCTTCGTCGCCGACCTCGATGTGCAGCGACTGGATGTCGCGAAACTTGCGGTAGAAGGCTTTGAAGCGCTCGATTGGCGTCGGGTAGGCGCCAAAGTGCACGCGGTATGTGGTCGCGGTCGTGTCGGTGTGGCCCGTCCAGTAGAGGCTGCTGCGACTGCTGCGCGACGCGAGGAAGAGGCACCACGCGACGCAAAAGCCGACGCTGTTGACGCCAAAGACGACCATGATGCTCCACCAGCCCTGCGCGGCCTGCTCGAGCCGCTTCCGGCCGTAGTCCACGTGCCAGATATCGCGCTGCGACGCGTTGTGCATACCGCGGACGTCGAGGATGTCGAGCTGCTGTGGTAAAATCCCAGCGCGACAGCCTGCGCCGGGATTGGTGCAAACGCCTCGAGCGCTGTGACATGCCTCGAAAGTCGCCTGTGATTGGCGGCTGCACTTGCTGTTGCAAACAGCGTCGGGTGTTTTCAACATGTCGTATAGAATACACTGTACACTATGCCACTGTCGACGCCAGAGGGATCTACGGTACCGCATTCCCACATAGCAAAGGATGACTTTACCGCCTTGTGGGACCAAGGCCTTGTAGCTTGCAGCGCTGGCACACAGTAGGAAGGCGTGATGCTCTTGGCGGGTGCTCTGTTTTAAACACGTGTTGAAGATCGCTGTCCGGTGATCAATGAACCGACGTTATCCGGACGTCCGGATGATGCAGAACGTCCAATCAATTCCAGAGCAGCGAGCGATGGAAGCCGACGCCCCCGTGGTCCCGCGCCGCTTTGTCGGCCGCAAGGTGGTCAAGGCCGAGACCTGCGCCGCCGACAGCGCCTGTGCTAATAACTCGGGCGCCTGCTGCAGCTCGGAGGCTTCGACGTAGGCGCGCCGCCTCCATGCCACAAGGCGGCTAACCCATGCATAGGCTCGTCAAGAAGAAGCCCAGCGCCGCGGCGCTGCGCCGCAAGATGGCCAACCAGATCCCGGACGAGATCCAAAACGACCCGGAGCTCGGCAAGGCCATCGAGCAGGTTTGCATCGCCGTTGCATTTGTTTCGCGCTCATGCTCGTGGCATCTAGCTTCCTTGGAACTACAACTTTGAGATTCGCAAGACGATCTGGAAGCTCAAGCAAGCCAACAGCAAGCGCGTCGCGCTGCAATTCCCAGAGGGCCTTCTTCTCTACGCGTGCGTCATCTCGGACATCATCGAGCGCTTTGCCGGCGCGACGTGCATCATCATGGGTGATGTCACGTACGGCGCGTGCTGCGTCGACGACCTCACGGCCAAGGCGCTTGGCGCCGACTTTATGGTGCACTATGGGCACAGCTGCCTCGTGCCGATTGACGTGACAACGATCAAGATGCTCTACGTCTTTGTCGACATTTCGATCGACGTGACGCACGTACGGGAGCGCATCTCCAGTGCGCGCATTCGTGGCTCACATCGTAGCTTGTGTAGCTCATCGAGTGCATGAAGCTCACGTTCGCGCCGTCGACCAAGCTCGCGCTCATGGGCACGATTCAGTTTGCGACCGCAATGCACTTGGCGCTCAATGAGCTCAAGAGTTACTTTACCGACATTGTCGTACCGCAAGCCAAGCCCTTGTCGCCCGGCGAGGTCCTCGGGTGTACGTCGCCGCTCTTCCCGGACCGCGAAGCACTCGTGTTTGTCGCCGACGGTCGCTTCCACCTCGAGGTAAACTCTACGTTTTCTGAGCAACGCTCAATCTCGTTTTTCTAGTCGGCCATGATTGCCAACCCGACGGTCAAAGCGTACAGATATGACCCGTACCCCAAGGTGCTCAGCTGCGAAAGCTACGATCTGGGCCAAATGGTCGCGATCCGCAAGTACAATAAGACGCTTTGGCGCATGAAGCTGACAATGGTGTGGTTCGTAGGAGCGCGGTGGAGACGGCCAAGTCGGCGCAGACGTTTGGTGTGATCCTCGGGACGCTCGGGCGCCAAGGCAGCACGGTCATCCTCGACCACCTCACTTCCGTCCTCGACGCCCACGGCAAGCGACACTTTACGCTTCTTCTCTCCGAGATCTTTCCCGAAAAGGTATGCCATTCTCGTAGTTGAGAGTATCATGACGAAGGTGTCCTAGCTGGCCATGTTCAAGGAAGTCGACGCATGGATCCAAGTGGCGTGTCCGCGCCTCTCGATCGATTGGGGCTATGCCTTCAACAAGGTAGGTTTCCAGCGGCTGTGGGCGCGATGGCTCACTTTTTGCAGCCGCTTTTGTCGCCGTACGAAGCCGAAGTGTGCTTGAACGAGACGCCGTGGCAAGAGGCGTACCCGATGGACTTTTACGCCAAGGGCAGCGGCAAGTGGACCAATTATTACAAGCCCGAGATCACAAAGTAAGCCCATCCAGCATGGTGTACTACAGGTAGTCAATGGAAGGGAAATACACGCGTCGACGTGCGACGAGATTTGTATGCACGTGTTGGTTTGTGCGTCTTGAGCTTACTCGGCTGTGGCCTTGCCTGCTTTCGGCGGCGACCTACCAAGAGTGTTGATTTCGGAATCTATATAAACACAAATCTGTGGTGTACCCCGGCAAGACGGGTCCGCCGATCTTGTCGCCGCCCGCCACGGTGTTTACAGCATCCGGGTGGAAGTGACACACCTCCCTAGACACAAAACATTGATGAGATCGCCGCTGAAACGAGAGGATCCTACCCAAAGATGAGCTCTTGAAGGCGGCGCTTTGTGAGCTGCTCCTTCTCGAAGTCAAAGCTAAACGGCTTTGTCGACTATAGAGCCATGGTCAAGCCATGGTCCAAACGAGCCATCTCCAACCTTCGGCTCATCGTCGTTGTTGTGAAGCGACTCCAAATACGGGTGCTCGAGCGCTTCTTCGACAGAGATGCGCTTCGTTGGGTCAAACACAAGCATCTTGTCGAGCAAGTCCAACGCCTATCGCACAAGCTCTTGCATGCTGCAGCAACATGGTGGCAGCGTACGTTCGCCTTGGCGTTGGGGAAGAGCTTGTCGAGGGGCACTTTCGGCTTGTTGGGCTGGCCCTTCATGAAGCGTCGAGCCTTCTCGCTCGTGACAAAGTGAAGCTCTTCTTCGGACGGCGTGCCCAGTTTGTCGCAAATGATTTGGAGCTGGTGGATGTAGTCGTCGCCAGGGAACATGGGCTTCCGGCCCAGAAGCTCGGCAAAGATGCAGCCGGTGGACCAAATGTCGATCGCCTTGGTGTACTCCTGCAAGACGAATACATGAGGACGCTACTGCAATGCGTTCGATACATACCTTGGTTGAGAGCATGATCTCGGGCGCGCGGTACCACCGTGTCACGACGTACTCAGTGAGCTCCATGTTGTCCTCGTCGGGCTCAACACCTCTGCAAGATTGTTGTAACATGCAACTTGCAAGAGGTACATACCGCGCGAGGCCAAAGTCGCACACCTTGAGGTCGCAATTCGAGTTGAGAAGCAAGTTGGACGGCTTCAAGTCGCGGTGCAGCACGTTCGACGAGTGGATGTACTTGAGCGCCCGCAAGATCTACGCTCTCCAGTGCCATCCGATTCCTCGGCTGCGACTCGAACCTGGTACAGAAAGTACTGGACATGGTCGTCGCTGAGCGGCTGGCGTGAGTAGATGATTCGGTGCAAGTCAGTCTCCATGAGGTCCGAGATGATGTAGACGTCCTCAAAGTGGGCGAGCGACGGCGGTGGCAGCAGGTCGACGATCGTGATGATCTACTCGGTATGAGCCTCCATGGCATGGTCACATATGTAGCTTGCATTTTCGTGGTCGAAATGCCGGAGGAGCTTGATCTCGCGCAGGATGCGTTTGGCGTCGATGAGATCTTCAAAGGCCTTGGACACCTTCTTGATCGCGACCTTCTCGTCCGTCTCCGTGTTCTGCGCGGATCTACGCGCCATGGCATGATGCATACCGATCGATCGCGCTCGTACATGACGACGCCGTAGGCGCCATGGCCGACGGGCTTGATGAACTTGTACTTGGTGTCGACCTGGAACGTCGTACCCGAGACGACGAAGCTATGGGTCCCCGGGCGCATGATGATCTCCTTGCCCCCGCTCTCCTCGACGGCCATTCCCTCGGCGACGGACGACGATGCCATGCTGATCCTCTTCCTTCCTCTTGTACTTGACCGCTCACGAGGGACACTGCGGTCGTAACTGCCGACGGATCGCAAACCTCTGCAATCGCATACCGACCGAAGATCCCGCGGCGTATCATTTGATACAGGATTCCGAAATTACCGTGAGCGAGTTTTTATTAACGACAGTCAAATACAGGCCCACGACAGGCTCGTGGATATTTTAGACACGAAAGCACGAGTGCGCTCTGGTCGGTCAATATATATTGATATGTCATTGAGATTCTTTTTGCATCAGGTTGAGGCACGGCAGAGGTCGTCGGAGGCGTCGCTCGCCTTCATGCACGTTCGGAGCGATACTGCGAACATGGCTGTGGGCGATTCTGGCAGACATGCAAGAGACTCGCTGCGACTAGGTGCGCGACACGCCGCTTCAATATATATTCATATTGGCCGTGGACTGGACCCACGCAAATACATCTCGCATTTTATATGCTACGTGCCGGGTCGTCGAATATATTGTCTAAAATATATTGCATTGCGCAGGCGGGCTGGAGACGGCACAAAACACGTCGCATCGGACGATGTTTCCTGTCTTTTCCAAGCTTGCAAGCGTGGGCGCAAGGCTAGTTGCACCCAAACGCCGGCAACAACACTGCATAAAGCTTGGTAGCTCTGTGGGCAAGGAAGCGCACTTGATTGCGCTGGTGCAAGCATGCAATAAGCGCCGATTGCGACACGATCCCGACGTTGCAATGCCAGTGGCGTGTTTTTATCCGCGTGCTCATGGCCCTGCGGTAAACGACCTGCGACTGCGTAAACGTCCAGTGCCATGATCTGATTGGCTAATAAGCCACGTACGTATCACCACCCGTACATTATGTACGACCTATGCAGACTTTCTGTCGGCGCTTCCCAGCTCTGTCTCCAAGCCCCGCCTCTGGCGTCCCCACCAAGGCGGAAGCTCGACGTTGGTGCGCGTCGCGCCCTCAACACGAGTCTCAGAGGTCTCTACCACTCCGCAAGAGGCAGATGCATGCACGCGCGGAACGTACGTAGAGTGGTCCATCGTGTCTATGCGGCGATGAGACGACATTGGTAATTGCACCTTATATTGAGACGCCATCCGCGGATATTCCGCCAGCCAAAATCGAGTGGCTTCATTTTTGGATTTCCGCCGTAATGGACCAAGTCTCGTGGGGCGCCGAGTGGTGGGCGGCGAACGGCCGCCCGATCGTTGACGCGTACGCGTCGCATGACATGGGCGCGGTGCTGGCCGCCATTAGTCGCGCGCCGTCGACGTACCTCCAGTACATCAAGGCGGTGTACGAGCGCAGCCCCGAGCACGTCATCATTGAGACGTTCCTCATCGTCTTCATCTTGTACATCTCGTTCGTCAAGAAGAGCAAGCTGCCCAAGCAGGCGGCCGACCGCTTGACGCCGGCCGAGATCCAGTCGCTCGTCGACGAGTGGCAGCCCGAGCCGATCGTCGCGCCCATCTCGGACGCCACGATCGCCGCCGCGACCTACAACCTTGGCATTGTTGAAGACACGCCGGGCACGCACATGAAGCTGCGTGGCATTGCGTCGCCGGTGCTCAACCTTGGTACGATGGACTTTCTGGGCATGGCCAACCGCGACGAGATCAAGACGACCGCGCGCAACGCGCTGACCAAGTACGGCTGCGGCTCGTGCGGCCCGCGCGGCTTTTACGGCACCATCGACACGCATGAGATTCTGGAGAAGGACATTGCGCACTTTATTGGTACGACCGACTCGATCACGTTCTCGGACATTGAAGCCACTGCGTCGTCGGTGCTGCCCGCGTTTGCCAAGCGCGGCGATCTCATCATCGTCGACGACGGCGTCAACGACTCGATTCGCACAGGCGTCAACCTCGCGCGCTGCACGACCTTGTACTACAAGCACAACGACATGGCCGACCTCGAGCGTGTGCTCAAGAGCGTCCGCGACGCCGACAAGAAGGCCGGTCGCCGCTCCGACTGCCAGCGCCGCTACATTGTCACCGAAGGCCTCTTCCGCAACTATGGCGACATTTTGCCGCTGCCGCAGGTCGTGGCCCTGGCGCGTGCCTACTACTTCCGCCTCTTTGTCGACGAATCCTTCTCGTTTGGCGTCCTCGGCGCGACCGGCAAGGGCGTCACCGAGCACTTCAACCTCCCGATCGACTCGATCGACATCATTTGCGGCTCGCTCTGCACGTCGCTCGCTGGCGTCGGCGGCTTTAGCACGGGCTCGCAGCATGTTGTCGACTACCAGCGCATCAACAGTGCGGGCTACGTCTTCTCGGCCTCGGCCCCGCCGTACACGTCGGCTGTCTGCTCGGAAGCCATCCGCCTCCTCAAGAACGAACCGTCGCTCGTGGCGCAGCTCAAGGCGAACGCGCAGGCGGCCCACGCCGCGCTCCGTGCGTCGTCACTGCTGACGGTGCTCAGCGATCCCGAGTCGCCCGTGCTGCACGCCACGACCGCCAACGCGCCGTTGACCCAGGCGCAGGCGGCTGCGATCGTCCAGGCGTGCTTGGCCAAGGGCGTCGCGGTCGTTGCTGGCGACCACAAGCCGACGCCGCTCAAGACCGCCGCGTTCTCGACTATCCGCTTGACGGTCAACGCGCAGCACTCGGCCGAGCACATTGCGACCGCTTGCCGCGTCGTGGTGGACGCCATTGCAGCGCACGCGCCGGCGGCGTCGACCGCCGCCACGACAAACGATGGCCTGCGTAGACGTAAATAAATTAGCTCTTAGCCCTTTTCTTAGGCTCGTTGGTATCCCGCCGGCTGCACGGTGCTACTTGCTTTGCACGTGCACTCGCAGTAACCGCCAAAGCGTCTAGCGTGTGTTGCAGCTTCCACGGTAGTGAATACCTCGCGCTGGAGGGCCGACACACATCTCCTGACAAGGACGCGTCTGGACATTAGTCGTCTCTTGGCCCTCTCGGTATTATGAAGCTGTCGGCTTGTCCTTGGGCTGTAATGTTATGGTGGCCTCTGCGCTGACACTGAGCCCGGATGCGTAACTACGTGCAGAGATACTCAATCTCGTCGGCGCGGCTTCGTTTGCGAGGTTGTCGCCCAAGCTTATAGATCGCATCGCACATGTAGCTACACATCACATCATCTCGCTCTCTCGAGCGTCCATATAGGGAGAGTAAAGAGGCGAGTTGCCGCCGCCTGCAGCCGGGCACTGGCCTCAGCGCTGGCCTTTCTTACGCCGGTTTCACCACGGTCGAATGGCACTGCGTTCCGCGCGCGTTCCATCTCTGCACGTGCCGAGTCGCATCTCGCTGCCTCATTCTGCAATGCCAGCCCCGTCGGCCATGTCCGGCGGACCCCGCGCCGCTCTCGGCGTCGGTCTTCTCGCCGCGCTCCTCTTGCTCGAGCGCAATATCTACGTGCCACCGACGCCAGCAGCCGTATCGTCTCTGTCCTCAATGACCGTCGCGTCGCGAGATGCCCATTGCCCCATCTTGCACGTGAAGACGGTCACCGAGTGGCACGCCGGGCACCGCGTGCATCTCTCTGCGTCGTCGCCGCTTTGGTCCGTGACGCTGGTCGTCGACAACTGGCGGCGCGTCTCGTCGTCTTGGAACGCCGACGCGCGGATGCGGTCGCCGACCACGATCGACGTGGCACTACGCAATGCGTCCACGAGCGAGTTTGCCCTTGTAATGGAAAAGGCAATGTGGGAAAGGCCATCAAGCATCCTCTCGGCGAACGTGACGACCGCCGACGGCACGCACTGCGCGTACAATCTGCCGCGCCAGATCAGCGTCGGTTTCTACCGCCGCCTCGGCGAGCCCAACGCTTCGTACGCGCCGTGTTCGCGCATGGCGAGCAAGCCGATCGCACTCGGGTTTGGCCACACGTGTGCGATCAACGGCTCCAACCAACTCTCGTGCTGGGGCCTCAACAGCTACGGCCAAGCGACGCCACCGGCCAACGCGTTCATCCAAGTCGCAGCGTACGACTACCACACGTGTGCGCTCTCGGAATTCGGCTACCCCTCGTGCTGGGGCGCGGCGTACACGCAGTACAACAACTACTCGTATGTGCCGGTGGTGCTGCCGGCGACGACGTCGATGGCGACGATCTCGGCCGGCGGCCTCCACGGGTGCTCGACGGCCCTGAACGGCACGGTGTTTTGCTGGGGCGCCAACGACCTCGGGCAGGCGTCGCCGCCCGCAGGCCGCTTCCAGCACGCGTCGGCCGGCTTCCGGCACACGTGTGGCATCACGTTTCCGGACGGGAAGCTCGTGTGCTGGGGCAGCAACGACTATGGCGAAGCGACGACGCCGGCGGGCAACGACCAGTATGTACAAGTCATGTGCGGCAACCAGTACACGTGCGCGCTCACGAGTGCCAATGTTGCTCGGTGCTGGGGCCTCGACAACCCGAACCTCAACTTTACAATGGTACGAGCATCCTCGAGCAATAAGAAGTCATTTCTTATTGCACTAGGTACCGGACGGGCTCTTTTTTTCGTTTGTCGGCGTCTCCAAAACTGGCAGCTTTAGCTGTGGCCTCTTGCTCAACGGATCGGCCACGTGCTGGGGCGACCCCGTCGCGTACCGAGGTCTCTACAACTTTGCGGTCTCGCCGCCGACGTACCCAACGTTCACATCGCTTGCGCTCGGGCAGCGTAACGTCTGCGGCACGACGGCGCAAGGCACCATCTTTTGCTACGGCGCGGGGGCGGCCACCCCCCCGGTATCGTTTGTCGCCAAGCAAAGCGGGTACTGCTACCGCCCGCTCACCTACGGCGCGGGCCCGTCGTGGCTCACGGACGGCTCGACCAACGATACTTGGCTCAACACAAGCTACGTCGGGAGCAATATCGACAGTTCCAGCGGCAGTGGCAGCGGCGAGAGCAACGACACGCGCCCCACACTGGTCCTCAACATCTCGTCGTATGCGTACAAGAAGCTCGATGCGTCGGGCAGTCAGTACGGGTGCGGCATTGACGAGACGGGCCAAGGCCACTGCTGGGGCGCGACCGTGCTCAGCGGCAGCGCGCGCGCGGTCACCGGCGCGGTCGACATTGCAGTCTCGATGGTGCAGCAAATCATGTGCGCGCTCACGCTCGCGCGCAAAGCCTCTTGCTACGCGACGCTGATTGACGGCGGCGGCCAGTTTACCGGCAACGCGTTCGTGTCGCCCCGCGACGACTTTGTCATGCTCTCGTCCAAAGGCATTCACATCTGCGGCTTGAAGGGCAACGCGCACATCAAATGCTGGGGCTTCAACAACGACGGACAGCTCGTCGTACCCGACCTCTCGTATCTCTACGTCTCGGCCGGCGGGTACCATACGTGTGCGATCACGACCAAGTACGAAGTGGCGTGTTGGGGCCGCGACAACTACGGCCAAGTCAGTGGCATGCCGCTCAGCACCAAGTACCGGTACGTCTCGAGCGGCTACGAACACACCTGCGCGATTCGCATCGACGACTCGGTCGACTGCTGGGGCGACAACAGTCGTGGCGAGACGAACGCGCCGACCGGCGTCCTCTTTTTGCAGATCGACACGGGCTGGCAGCACACGTGCGGCGTCACAAAGGCGTGGACGCTGCGCTGCTGGGGCAACAACGACTTTGGCCAAGCGACACCGCCACCCGGGCTCTACTACCACGTCTCGGCAGGTCGGACGCACTCGTGTGCAACAAGTACGTCGGGCGTCATGACGTGCTGGGGCGACAAGGCCGCCAAGCTCTCGATTCCCGCGCTTTTGCAACCCTTTAGCAATGTCGCCACCGCCGAGTACGTCCGCCAGCTCCAAGCCAACAACTCGCTCACGCGCATGACGTGCTCGACGCTCGGGTGGGGCATTGCGTTGAGCACGAATCTGTGCGCATCGACGTCCGTCTTTCGTGGCTGTCCGAGCGTCTCGTCGTACCCGGCGGCGCTCGCGCGCTGCCAAGGTACACGCCTTGGCCTTTCTCTCCGCGGTCTAACTTCATGTACCTTAGTGATTGGCGGACGCCTACCGACGGCAGCCGAGGTCCAAGCCGGCCTTCTCGCGGTCGATGTGTGTCAGTCAGTTAACAACCCGGTGTGGACAACGACGGCGTGCATTCTCGGCACGTCGGTGCAAGGGCGCATCACGGTCATCGCGTCGCCGCCATCGAGCAACCCGCTGATTCCGACGCCGCCGACGCTCACGTGCACGCCCACGTCGACACCGTCGATGCCCGTGTGCATTTCGGAGCGAGGTCACCTTCTTTCTTAGGTCGTCTGCTATTCTCACAGCTGCATTTGGTAGAGTTTACAGCGTGCAGCCTCGGCAGTCGCTGCTCGCAGGCGTGTGTGTCGCTCACCAACTCGCAGTACGCGTGCACGTGCGATGACGGCTTTAGCCTCACGGGCGACGGCGCGACGTGCGCCCCCGTGAATGCGCCGCGGTCGTCCAAGACGTGCAAGCAGCTCGGGTGGACCAAGCAGTACAAAAGCACGTGTGCACCATCGACGGCGTGCTTGGCAGCGGCGACCTACATGGACGCCGCGCAGGCGTGTGCGGCGCTCGGCGCTCGGCTCCCGAGACGCTCGGAAGTCGTCGGTATCGCCGCCTTCCCGACGCAGTGCGGCACGTCGGCGTTCTGGACGTCCACCAAGTGTGCGGCTGGCATCGCGCCCGGCGTGATCACCACCAACACGGCGACCGAAACATGCACGAATGCGACCGCGACCGCCCGTATCGTCTGCGTCGCCGACCCCGGTACACTTTGCTACTTGACACATTGATACGATGGAGAAAATTGGTTAGATATCAACGAGTGCGCGCTGGGCCTTGCGTCGTGCACGTCCCAGTGTTGGAACGTCGAGGGGTCTTATACGTGCACGTGTCCCAACAACGAGACGCTGCTCAACACGGGCACGGGGGCCAACGTCTGCGTCGAGTCGCCGACGCCAATGCCGCTGTCGACAAGCACGTGCGGCGCGCTCGGGTGGACTCCGCTCACGGGCAACACCATTTGCACCAGCAGCCAAAGCAAGCCAAAGACGACGACCCAACGCCGCCTCAAGGCCGCCGTAGAAACGTGCCCGGATACGATGTCGTACGGCGACGCGGCGAGCTTTTGCGCGACGCAGGGCGGGCGGCTCCCGACGCTCGATGAGATTGCGATGAACCTCCAGCTGCTCACGCGCAATAGCGTCTGCGGCATCAACCAGCCGAGCCAGCTCATCTGGAGCACGTCGCCGTGCTCGCGCGACCAGACGCCAACGATCGGCGTCGCGGCTACGAACGCCCAGCTGCTCTCGACGACCGCCATGGATACGATTTGTCTTCCGATGACCAATGTCACTGCATTCCCCGTGTGCGTCGCCGACATGATTGTCGGTACGTCCTCGATTGCGAAGGACCGACTTGATACACTGAAACAATCCTTCTAGTCGGCTCGTGCGCGTCGGGCACCAACCTCTGCTCGTGGGGCTGCGCCGACGTCAACGCTGGCTACCGCTGCATTTGCGACCTCGGCCACGTGCTCGGGAACGACAGCGCGACGTGCATCAACGGTTCGCAGCCAGTCTCGACGCTGACCGCGGACGGGTTTCCCAACCCGTGGGCGCCGGCGGGTGCAACGGTGGTCGCGGCGCGGTCGTACGGCTTGACGGGGCCGAGTCCGAGCAACACGAACGACTGCGCCGGCGTCGTCTCGTACGCAGCCGCCACTGCGCTCTGTCAGCGGGCCGGTGCGCGCCTTCCGACGTCCGACGAGCTCGCGGCCGATGTCGCGCTCGGCTCGGGATGTCAGCTGGACTACGCGACGGTGTGGAGCGCCACACCATGCTTCCTTGCAAATGGCTCGACTGGGGTGATTGCGACCTCCGGGTCCAAGCTCGGGCTTCAAGCGAACCCCGCGTCGTGCGTCGACGCGGCCACCATGCTCGCCAACGTCCGCTGCGTCAAAGACCCCAGTAGCAACAAATGTGCGTCGTCCCCCTGCAGCCAGCTCTGCTTCAACCAAAACTATGGCTACGCATGTGCATGCAACCCGGGGTTTACCCTCGCGCTTGACGGCGTCAGCTGCAATCCAGCGCCGGTGCTGCCGTCGCTCAAGACGTGCCGCGACTTGGGCTGGACGCAGTTTGGCGTCGCCAGTGGCACGTGCACGCGCGCGATCGCAAGCTGCCCAACACCAACGATGCAAACCATGGACGAGGCCAGCACGATATGCAGCAGCCGCGGCGCCCGCCTTCCGACGCTACCCGAGGTCCAACTGGGGCTTGTGCTCGCGTCGACTTGCGGCTCACAGCGCATCTGGACGTCGACAGCCTGTGCGCTCTTCCCACCGACATCGTCCGGCACCGCGATCGCTCCCAAGTCGCTGCTCGGGTCGCTCACACTCACGTCGGCGGCACCGGCCGTCGTCGTCTGCGCGGCCAGTACCGACAAGCTCATGACGCAGTGCATTGCAGACGCGCGCGACAACCTGTGTGCGTCGATCAACGGCACGAGCCTCTGTCCGAGTGACCAGCAGTGCGTCATCAGCGACAATGGCACCTCGTCCTGCGCGTGCGCGACCGGCACCAATATGGACAGCACTGGTGCGTGCGTCCCGTTCAGCCCGCTCTCCACTTCGACGTGCAAGAACCTCTGCTGGCAAACGACAGCCGCATCGCCCGTTTGCTCGGCGCGGCGCATCGGGGCGCCCATGATTTCCATTCCCGATACGAGCCTCTCGGCCTGCGCGCTCACGTGGCTGCGGCAGTGCGCCCCGCCCGTCACGGCGGCGTTGGCGCCCAATGCGTGCGCGCAACTCGGGTCCCGCCTCCCGACACTCACCGAAGTCCGCGCCGGGCTTCCGTCGCCTGTGAGCACTTGCAACGGCTTCACATACCAGCGCGTCTGGACGTCCAGCGCATGCATGGACCGCGCGAGTATGACACCCGGCGTTATTGCGAGCGGCGTTGGCGCCTGGCCCACGTCGTCGCCGCGCGAGGTGTGCGTCACGAGCAACGAGACGGTGGGCCCGGTCCAGTGCGTGGCCGACGTCTACGAGAATGCGTGCACGAGCGGGATGCACACGTGCCAGCAAGTTTGTCTGCCGAGCGGCGCGTCGTCGTATGGGTGCGCGTGCCACGACCAGTACCAGCTCGGACCGGACGGTGGCTCGTGCGCGCCCATGCTGCCGCCCGTGAGCCTCGTCTCGTGCGCTGCGCTGGGCTGGACCAACGTGCAGCAAAAGACCTTGTGTGCCAACGGTCGCGTCAACGTCACGTACGTGAACGACCAAGGACAACTGGTGCGCCACACGCAGCCGTACGTCAAGACAGCCATGGCGTGTCCGACGTCGCTTGTGAGCTACAACGACGCCTTTGCGCTCTGCGCAACGCTCCAAGCGCGCTTGCCGACGCTCGATGAAGTGCTCTCGGACAAGGCGATAGGCGCGGGCTGCGGCACCGACACGACGCGGGTCTGGACGAGCACGCCGTGCAGCATCATGGGGGGCAGTGCGCTGACATACATTTCGCTTGCAGGCGCGTCGCGCTACTTGCTCCTATACCCGCAGCAGTGCACGCAAAGTACGCAGCTGGCAGCGGTCAAGTGCGTCGCCAATGTCAACGTCAAGTGAAAAAAACACTTTTGAACATGAGCAAATTGTCTTGTCGAGATGCGATTCGTAGCAGCATCCGCAGTGAGCATCGCACGAGGTATCCGCGTCGTACCAACGCATGAGTCAACGCAAAACCATTTGGCATTTGGTGGGGGGCCTTCACCCCCGATGGCTGTAGCTGGGGGCTCTCCTTGGGCCACTGGGAACGTCCAGGCCGGAGACGATGGCAGCACACGGCAGCTCTAAGGATCCACGCAAGTACCAACGCGCGCAACTGGCTCAGTTTGAGGGAGCCGCAGGCTGAAGAAACGCGCTTCACACCACTGCTACTCTGCCTTCATGACCTGCAAGGGACAAGGACCACGTAAGGACATGGTATGGGATTCCTCACAGCTCGTCGGCCAAGTACTCGTATTGACGATTGGTTGTCAACTAATGCGTCAACTAAACCACGGATGTCTCTGCGTGGCGCCACAAGAGAGAAAAGTATCAATCTATCAGCAACTTGATACATTTCACAGCCACGTGGCCGCGTCGTTGTTGACTTGCGCGACAAGGTCCGATGTGCAAGCGGCGGGCGTGGCAAATTTGATCGTGTACACGCACGTCGAGAGTTCGTCGACCGACAAAATCTGGTCTTTCGATCCACATTCCAGCACGAGTTGCACCGAACTAGAATCGCAACGAGTCAGAACGAATCTGGCATAGTTGAACGAACCGGTGGGGACCGTTCCAGCATTTTTCGCCGTCTTCAAACGACATGATGGGCGGCGACGTCGAGCTCCAACGCTTCCAGCTCCCGAGACGCACGCTGTCTTGGGTGGCTTCGCCAAATGGACAGATCGTGTAGTGGTATTTCTAGTCCAAAATCTGGTGAGAAATAGTAACGAATCGCGTCATGTACCTCGAATTGGGCCACGGCACACACGCCCTTGAGGATCTGGTACCCTGCGTCGGGCCCTGACTCTTCGGTGAAGACCCGTTCCAGTCGGTCGATTTCCTAGTCCCATTTTTGATCGTCCAAACCACATATTTCAGATCTGAAACGCACTTGGTCGATCGCTTGCATGTCGGTCTCGAGGTCGGTCAGAATCGAGCGCAAGCTCTCGGCTTCTGGGAGCACGACACTGCGGTCCAGCGTCGGGCTATCGACAATATGACTTTCTCCATCTCGAGAGTATTACGAACAAGAAGGTTTCCCAAATCACATCGACGGGGGCGTCCCAGACCGTGCTCAGCACATACGACGCATAGTAGCGCCACCAAAAGAGCCGTCCTTGCGAAAGTCGGCGCAGAAACAACGACTTGTGGTAGCGCCAGTCTAGATCCAGTAATTGCACAAACCCATGCCACTAACCAGAGTTCCAGCTCAGACCAAACCAATCCACCAGTCGTACCGGATCGAGGAGCGCGTGGGGCGTCACGACGTTGAGAAGGCGAAACCACGTCGACGTCGCCAGCGTCAGCACCTCGTAGACGCCACGCACTGGCGACAGCAGTAGCCCGATGCCCTGGAGGCCGTATGTGATAAAGCGCGCGCGGTCGGCCGCATTGCCGTTGAAGAGCGGCCCGAGGAAGTCTTCCTTTTGGCGCTGGTACACCGACCGCATCGGGATCCTACACGCATATGTCATTGATGGTGGTGACGTGGCAGCAGGACGTACCGTTTCGCTTGGTCGAGGACTTCGTGCATGTAGGCTGCGAGCGTCGTCTACATCATATGTTATTGATACTACACGGCCAAAGCATGGGGGCATATATACCTGTCGGCCATCGAGCCGCTGGACGACGAGTGAGAGCTTGGACTTGGCATCCGCATGCTTGAGCGCGACAGTGGTGTCGGCGGCTTCGGCTGCGCTATCAGCTACCGGCGCCTCGTCCTCGATAACGTCGCTGTCGTTGTCGTCATTGGTGGTGCTATCGGCAGCGCACTGCCCGGTCTTTTGCTTGGCCGACTCGATGCGCATGGCGTACTCGGTGCGCTCTTCGCGGTCCTTGAAGACGGTGACCTTGAGGCGGAGCTGCCGGAGCTCCTCCTTGAGCGCCTTCTTGGCGAGAATCTCGTGCTCCTTTGCAATCGCTGCTTGCGCTAGCGCATTCAGGCGCGTTTGACGCTCGGCAAAGCCTTGGAGGACGACGTCGCGATGTGCTTGCACCGCCGCCCGCTTGGCATCAATCTCGGCGTCGCACGCGTCGACGCAGACACCAACCGCTTCGTCCGAGCCGTCGCAGCAGTCGCACACACCGTCGCCGACCTGACTCGTGTGGATGCGCATCGGAAGCAGACCGCGGTTGTGGCAGTCGTGCGCTGCCGAGAGCACATGCGAGCACGCGGCCGTGTGCGGCTCGTCGCGGCCGTCGGCGCAGTCGCAAAAGTCGTCGTTCATGAGCTCGGGCACCAGCGGCAGGAGGTCGCCACTCACAGCGCTAATGCACGCGTCCTGCGCCGCCATCGCGATCGCCGCCATCGCCAGCACCGAGACGAGCCGCGTCGACACCATCACAGTCCGTCAAACTCTGTGCCATCGCTGCAGAAAGTACGGACGCACCCAATTAAGTGCGATCTGGTCCAACCCGCTGACCAAGATGGCCGCAGACAGCAGACGACAAGATGGCGGCAGAGCCGATCAGCTGATGCGAAGACGATCCCTCGCCATCGACCTTGGGGATTGCACTGCTGATGCACTGCTGGCGTGATCGGAGGCGTGGTCAGGTAACATCGCCGAGTGGCGTGGCGCCCCCAGAACGTGCCACGTGTGCGCCACCATCTCGCAGTCGCCAACAATGCCCACTGACTGAGCTACGACTTGATTTGCCCCACTACTTGCGATCGGCACACCCTAGTACGCAACTCAACTAGAAATATAAACGTGTTTCAAGATATATAGTGGGTACTCGACGCCGACAAAGAACTTATTGGAGCAGATGCTCAATCACGCGCTCGAGGTCGCCTTCGTACTCGTCCAAGAGGCGGCGGCTCGTCTCCTCGTCCGCAAAGCCCATGAGCGAAAGGTCGTCCAGCTGCGCTGCATACACATAGTCTGCGTGCGCTTCGGCCACATACTCGTAGCTGTCGGCCATGTCGTCCACCACCTCCGTCGCCGACGCTTCCATCGCAATCGCCTCCGAGGCTTCCATCTTGTCCGAGGTCTCCGTCTCTTCAATGGCCGACGCCTCGTCCATAGTCGACGCCTCGGCAGTATCGTGCACGACCAGCGTCGCCATCGGCAGCGCGGCCACGTCGTCCTTCAGCATCGTGTCGACGACCGACGTGTTGGGCGCCTTGGTCTTGAGCACGTCATCGTGCGCCACGGCCGCCTCGCCCAGTGGCACCATCTCCACGGTGGCCGCCACGGCCGGCGGCGGCACCACGGAAATGTCAACCCAAAAACGGTGGCCAAAGCGCGACCCCGACGGCATGCACACGCGGAAGTAGCACACGTAGCGGCCGGGCTCTTGCGGCGCCGTCAAATCCATCGACAAGACGCACTGCTCGCCGGGGCCGAGCGGCGGCACGCTGCATGCCACGTCGTCAACCACCATGCCGACGCCGCCCACCATGTGCACGAGGCAGCCGGCCGGCCACGCGTGGTCGCCATTGTTCTCGAGGCGCCATTGCTTCATGAGCGGCTGGCCCGCGACCACGACACTGCCGTCTGGCAACGTCACGTCTTCGACAAAGCGGCAGCGGAGGTACGGCGACCGCGCCGTCTCGGGGCTCGGCGCGTGGCGGTGGCCCCGGGGCACAAAGGGCGCGGGCGGGCCAAAGGCAAACGGCGCAAACGGGTGGCTGTGGGGCTTGGGGCCGCGGCGCCCGCGACGCGGCGGGTAAAAGTCCTGCTCGACACGCGCGGCAAACGCCTCGGGCGGCTGCACGTTGGCGTCGTGACGCTGCGCGGCCTCGGTCGCCACGTACAGCGCATACGGCGTCTGGTCGACGCTGGTAATCTTGAGGAACGGGCCGTGCGACGCATTGTACGCGCCTGTGGCTTCACACGTGTCGCACAAATCAAAGTGCTTGACGACCGCCGACTTGAAGCGGGCGCCGACGATCGGGTGCTTGGAGCAGCCATCGCACACAATGTTGGTGTGCACGGCCGCAATGGGCGCCGGCTTGGCCTTCTTGAGCGCCTGTGCCTTCTCCGGCGCCACAATCTTGATGAACGGCTCGTGCGTTGCCGCCCAGTTGCCCGAGGCCTCGCAGGTCGCGCACAAGTCAAAGTCGTCGACGATCGCAGACTTGTACCGAATGCCCTCGACCGGCGTCGCGCTGCAGCCGTCGCACTCAATGTTATAGTGGATCGGGAGCTCGGTTTCGATCGACCGGAACGGCGCGTAGGCGCCGTAGCGTGGCACGACGACGCAAGCGCTGCAAAAGTCCATGTTGCGATCCGTGAGCGACTGGTGTCGGACGCCCACGAGCGGGTACATGCCACAGCCGTCACAGATGCGGTGGGTGTGGATCGTTGTCGAGGCGGGCGATGGCTTTTCTTCCTCAAGCGTCTCGTCGATCGACTTGGAGGGCATGGCCTCGGCAGGCACGGCAACGGGCACCTTGGTAAAGTGGGCCACCAGCGCCGGCAGTGCCGTCGCCAAGAGCTTGGCCGTTTGCGGGCTCTCGTGGAAGACCTGGCTAACCATCGCGCCAAGGTCATCGGCCTGCATCAAGAGCTCTTCCGCAGCCTGCATGTCCTGCGCGCAAATCGCGTGGACGAGCGCGACCGCGTACGTGTGGTTCTGCCCCGCGCTGTCGGCCGCCATTCGGCTCCAGCAGTCCACAAAGCCCGCGTCGAGCAAAATGTTGAAAAAGCCAACCTTGAGCGCGACCGTCACGTCTTCATCGGCAGCAATCGTCCATTCGTGCATGAGCTCCAACAAAACAAACACCGCCTCTTCGACCGTCGCCTTCTTCTCGCCCTTGGTCACCGCGACCGGCGGTTCGTACTCGGCCTTGGTGCCCTTGACGTCCACGCGCAGCGTCGTCATGCGGGCCTCGCGGATGTAGGCAAAGGCTTCGTCGAGGTCGGCTTGGTTGGCGATGGTCACCACGTCGCCGTCGCCATCAACGTAGCTCATGCTGCATGTGGCGAGGCCAAATTCGCTGCACACATGCGCCTTGAAGAGGATGAACTCATGGAGGAAGGCCATGTCGGTCGGGAGCGCGACCGCGTCGCCGTCGTACGCTACTTCCATGCTGCTACCTCCTGCGTCTCGTCCGGCAAATCTGCAACTGCTGCTCCAAGCCTATTCCCAGAAAGAACGATCTTCTTTTTCTTCCGTTTTATTCGGCATACAAACAACAAGCTATACGCAATTAAAATACGCAGAATTCGAAACCGTGCACGAGAATGGTGGTCCTTTTAAATCGAGAAGCCGCGTCGTTACGGTCGTTTTCGTTTGCCGGCAAGATGCAACGCCGTCAATCGAAAACGGTTGTAAAGGCAATGGGTATCGCGAAGCTTTGTCGATATTGCACGCACAGTGATCACAAGACCGGTAGAAACATTTTTGTTTCACGCCAACGGTACCGTAACCCCCGGGCTGGCACCACCAAACACGCGTGATGGTGCTTCTTACCGACACTTGAGGCATACAAAAAGACGTTGTCGGCTAGGATGCACGCAAGCCGGTAAAACGACAGGCCCAAAATAACGAGCCAGGCCACTATGACGTGGCAGCACGAGTGACCAACCGCAGAGACAGCAGATCCACTTGCCAAGGGTACTCATTGTACGGTTGAAAATTGGTATGCAGCGCCTCTCGTAGAGGCTTATAGCCTGAGTTCTCCCTGGACACCAAGCTCTTATGCAGCATCCTGGCAAGGACAATCCCTGCAAGCTGCGTCAACGACCTAAGCTGCCTGTACAAGGAAGGTACTAGTACATAGCTTCCTATCAAGCGTCGTATACGAATTCGGTGCTATCTATATCACTGGACTGAGCAGCATCGCCGGTAGGCAGCTCGGGTTCCTACCGTCAACGCGACTTGACGAGTATCCGGATAAGGAGCCGGATAACGTGGACACTGCCGTATCCGGATATTATCCGGTTGTTCCCGATCTTAGCCTCTCAGAGTCGAAGCAGCCGCGTCGATGGCAACCCCTGTGGCGGAGCAGCAAGGTCCGCCTTCGACGGCGCCGAGACTCGCCGACGTCTTCCGCGCTCGCGAAGCCTGCTTTAAGGGGCTCGTCCAGCAGAAGAACAAGGAGGCCGAAACACTGCGGCGCCAACTCATTGAGTCGAACATGGAAGTCGAGCGCTTGAAGGTGTATCCTGGCTCGTCTGGCGGCGAGGGACTGAGCGGTCCTTACGTAGATCCAGGTTCTCGCTCACGAGCGCGCGCTCGCAGAAGCTCGAAGTGCTCGCCGCGACGAGACCGAGGTACGGCCCACCGACGACTGGAACATCTGCCGATGATGATGATGGGACGACAGGCCATGGTCGAGCTCGACGACGACCACGGACTTGAAGCGCCCTCGCCGACTCCAAGCGACCGTGACGATCGTTGTGATGGCATAGCTGACGAAGCGCTTCGCTACGACCCTCATGAAGTCCAGATGGAGCGCGAGGACGAGCAAGCTGCACCTGCGCACGATGCACTTACGACCCCTCGCCACGACGACATCAGCGACGAAGAGGCGTACGAGCAAGGTTTCGCGCCCATGGAAAGCGGCGATGATGCGTCCAGCGACAACGGCGACTTTGAGTTTGGCGCTCCCGAGCTTCTTCCGGTATTTCTGCAACATGCCCTTTCTGTCGGTGCAACTCCTCATGGATGCGTCTAGTTGCAGGAGCAAGGTCTGTTTGCGTCCTCTGCGAGCATCAACAGCTCAAGCGTCATCATTCCTGTCCGGCGCGTGCTGTATCGACACGAGCTGCGCAATGCGCAGGTGTCGCCGCCCCACCGCCCGCCGACCCAGCCCACGGCTCGTACGCCACAGCGCGAGGCGCCTCCTGCTGAAGGGCAGCCGCGTGCGCAGCGGCCCCGCACAGAACTGATTGGCATTCCGCAACCCGAGTTTGCCCTTCTCAGCGCCGAGCAGCGCCGAGCCGCCCGAGCGTTCAGCCACTTGACGCGCGATCCGACGATTTCAACAAACGTCGCGGCCACGCTTTTGGCGCCGATCCGTCGGCGCAGCCAAGGACCAGTGGTCCACGCGCTGCCGTTGCCGCCGCTGCGCAGAAAAAAAGTGCCAGGTGCACCGACGCGCCGCGTCCTGAGCGAAGACGACACGAACCAGCGCCGCTTGCTACGACTGCAGTTCTACCGCGTACGTCCCATCGTCGTTGACGCGTGACGACAGCAAACGTTCAATGACGTAGAACAAGGAGATGGTCGACGCATTTGAAGCCTACAAGCGCCAGGAGCTCATGACAGCGCGTCGGATCTCGCCACAGGTAGATACGTGTTCACCTTGCATGTTGTTCATGCTTGCACGAGCACCTTGGGGCAACGCGCGAGAAATTTGCGGACGACTTTCCGGCCGTGACCGACTTTATGTGGCAATTTATGGCGTCGCAGACGTGGCCGCAACACACGGCGTTGCAACTCGAGTGCGTTTCCACTCTTCGCCATAGTCTCTCAACTGCTGCGTAGGTGCTCCATTTGCACGGAAGTCTACAGCGCCGGCGAGACCGTCGCGACGCTGCCGTGCGCGCACCTATTCCACGACGACTGCATCAAGCCGTGGTTTGCCGAACACGACAAGTGCCCGCAGTGCAAGACGCTCATCGTGCCAACGCGCGGAACCCTCGGCAAGCGCCCATGAGTCGCACGCTTCGACGTTGCGTGCCACGATGTTGTACGAAGTCGAGCCAACGATTTTCTAGTGGATCAATACAAACACGTCTTGTCTCTCTACTTGCTTTGCCGCCTCTACAGGCTCGGAACTGGATGGTTGCGTCCACAGCAGCGCGGGTGTCTGCACCCAATCTCTACAGTCGATAGTAGGTGGAGTCATAGGTAGCTCTTGCTTGGATGATACTAGTATGCATGTGCTGGGGTGCCATTGGCCGCGTGTTGTTTCTTGACCCAATCCTGACGCTCGCGCCGCCACGATGTTTATCCGGTATTACCGGATAACACGGTTTATCCGGATGTTTATCCGGTGGCCCCCGATCTTAGTTTCTCAGAGTCGGATACGCAGCGCGGAAGGCAAGGCCGATGGAGGCCGAAGACGACGGCCCCCCGCCTGAAATGCTCCAGGCCGACATCTTCCGCGCCCTGGAAGCCAATCTCATGGCGCTTGTCCGTCATTCGAGGGCGGAGGCCGAAGCACTGCGGCGCCAGCTCATCGAGTCGAACAAGGAGGTCGAGCACTTCAAGGTACATGGCTTGTCCATGGACCGGGCGTATGACGAGCCGCCCATAGGAGCAAGCTCAGCGATCTGCGGCTTTGAGCGATCGGCATGGAAGCGGCGACGAGGACGAGGTACGATGCGACGTTGTTTGCAGAATCGGACGATGCTGATGGTTCAGGCCATGGACGAGTCCGAGGACGACGACGAACGCTACGAGCGTTTCCATGGACGAGTCCGAGACCGACGACGACCGCTACGAGCGCTACCTTGCTACCACGACCCTTACGAGTTTGATGAGGAAGCGCACGAGGAGCAACGCTACGCCATGATGGAAGCCCAGGCGAACCCGCCCGTCGAAGCGTTTGCGAGTGATGACGATGACTACAACGGCGAGACGCAGGGCCAAGGTATTGAGCCAACATCAAGCGACAACGACGCGGGCAGCGACAATGACGCGGGCAGCGACAATGAGATCGACCCTGTTGAATGCGTCCAGGTAACGCGTGATCTTTCTGTCGAGTACCTTCTAGCACATGCATAACAGCGCCAAGACGATAACCAAGATGGAGAGGCGCCAAGCTTCGAGCCCATGGAAAGCGGCAGCGATGTGCCCAGCGATAACGAGCACGAGGAGCCCCGCCAGGTGCTGCATCTCCTGGCTTTTCTCTCACACAGTCTCTCACATACATGTATTGCAGTTTTTGGCTGCTTCTAGCGGAGGCGGCTCACCCCAAGTCATTCGCGTGCGACGATCGCAGTATCGGCAACACGCTCGTCGCGCGCAAGTGGCATCGCCCGATGGGTCTGACCGAACCGGTCGAGCGGCAAAACGCCCAGCGCCGCATGCGGGCGGCCGACAGCCTGCCCAGCGACGTCGCACATGGTCACCGTCGAGTGTGTCGTCCGACAGAGTCCGCGAGGCGGGTGCTTGCGATTACCATCCGTCGCGCGCTGAAGAACCAGCGCCGGAACCCATGCGTCTGCGCAAGCACGGACCGGTCACCGAGACGCTGCCGCTGCCTGCGCTACGTGTCAACAAGCCGTGTACGCTCACGGACGCGGAGAAGGCGCAGATCAGCCTGAAGCGACTGCTCTACTACCGCGTACGTTCTACCACGTCCCATGGAGCCGATGCATTTCCGGTGCGTAGCACAAAAGTCTTCTCGAAAAGTACGAAGCCCACATTCGCGAGCGCCTTGTCGAAGCGCGTCGGATCTCGATCGAGGTAAGATCTTACACCGCACGCACCAGGAGGCACTTGTACTAGGCGTACGACGAATTGGCCCGAGCCTTTGTCGAGGATTTTGCGGCGCTCACCAACTTTGTGTGGCCGTACTTCGAGACGCAGTCGTGGCCCCGCGATACCGAGCTGGACATCGAGTACGATGCCTGCAAGACGCGGTGACTCAACCAAGTACTACGATGTAGGTGCTCCATCTGCACCGAGAGCTATAAAGCCGACGAGTGCGTCGTGACGCTGCCCTGCATGCACCTCTTCCACAACGACTGCGCCAAGCCGTGGTTGGAGGCGCATGACGAGTGCCCACAGTGCAAGACGATCGTCGTTCCGACCCGTGAAACCCTCGGCCGTCGCCCTTGACACGCAGCAGCAGCCCCTTGACACAGTGCTGCATCGTGTGATGTATAAAAACTCAAATTTTGACAAGCCATGTCATATGTGTTGATCGGCTTTGGCGTGGAAGCGGGCGCAGAGCGTCCGTGGCGGCAGGTCCTACGCTACTTCATCAGATACATTTGCAACTATGGGTTGACAGCGAGTAAGTCCGCATGACCTTGTCGTCCCAAGGACGACTCTATGATACGCGTCGACATAGCGCACGTCTTGAGGCGTTGTTGTCGGTCCCGCGCGAAAGATATCCGTTGTGACATGAATACAGTGTATGCAATACACTGTATTGCCAGCTCTTCCGCACACGAGTAGGGGATGTGTAGCGGATCGGCCCAAACCGCCCTGCTTTGCCATGCAGCAGCGCAGTGAGCGCTGCATAGTATTGAGGCGCTGGCTCCTATTTGCTTGCGCGTTGGCTGCGCTGAGGGCTCCTCCCTCGTATCCGGATTCCGGATAAAGAAGGCTCGTGCAGTGTATTCTGTGTTTTCTGGAAAGTCCGACCACCAAGCCATGCAAGTGCCCGCGGAAGCCCAGGCGGCGATCACGACCGAGCGCTGGGCGCAGCTTGAGGCTATGGTCGGCAGCAACTTCGCAGGCATGAAGAGTGACGTTGCTGCCCTGCGCCACGCGGCGACAGAGCTTGGGGTCCAGGCCAAGCTGGTCGAGGACGGGGACTGCACGGTGTTGCAGGGCTCCATTCGTTACAGCGTCAAGAAGGTACGCCAGCGCGAGCGATGCCATACGAGGTCACGATCATGACATAGCACAAGCGTCAAATGGTGCTAGCTGCGCGCAAGACGCCAGAGAAGAAAGTGCACCCCACGTCGTTGGCGAGAGCGTCCAAGAAGGTACATGCCTCTCTACCCTCGACACCGACAAACGCATCTTCCTTGGGTGTCTAGCGCGCTTCTCCAGCTGCGACCCGAACGGCGCTCACAACGCCGACGAAGCGTCAGAAGACAACGGACGGCTCTTCGAAGGCCGAGCTTCCCGCGGGGTTCTTTGGGCCTTTTAAATTTCCGGCGTTGCCAGGTATTGTCGTGCGATCGCCGGGTGCTTTTCTTAGGATGCAACGTAGGCGGCGCGCCGACTGGATTGATGCCCACTTCATTTCGCCTCGGAGAAGACCCAGCCTTGACGTGGACAGTGTTCGGCCGCCACGTCGAGTTCAAAGACGGACTTGCAGCGCTCATTCTCGCAAAGACGTCGATGGCACCAGAGTGTGTCATCCCGCACCAGCGCAGCTCACTCATGGGCGATTCATTTCTTGTTGTTTGGAAATCCAAGGACGACGCCGCGCTAGCGTTCAAGCAGTTGCTGCCCGAGTGCCCTGAAAACCCATGTGTCTGCTACTACGAGAAGGTCAAGTCGCTCTAAATTGCGTCTCCACGCGCAGCCGACTCTTTTTAACGTAACCTATTTTGCATGCGGATACTGTGTGTTTGATGGTCCCGTATGAGTGACTATATGCCGTAGCATACCCCCAGGCAATGACATAACAACATACATTTCATTATCTCAAAAAGCAATATCAGACTCGGCAAGTCGGTGACGCTGTTCAACGACTTGCGGCTGGGACACACAAAGTTGACTAGTCGTCGGTGCCGCAGTGCGTCTCGATCCAATCGTGTCGAGCGACAAGCGCGGCTGGGAGGCGGTCGCATTTCTCTTGTTGCAAGAGCTTGGCAATCAGGTCCCACGCGCTGTCAGAGATGTGAGGCGGCCGCTTCACGTGCTCGTCCTGGATGCGCTTCTTCATTTGGTCCTCCGTCAAATTGCTGCCAAGCGAGAACGGCGGGTAGCCAACGAGAAGCTCGTATGTCAGGATGCCCAAAGACCAGAGGTCCGTCTACGAACGACGCTTTAAAACGACCAAGTGCTTTGCTTTGCTGTACCGTGGCGTCATGGGGCTGGCCAGCGGCGACTTCTGGTGACATATAGTCAGTCGTTCCCACCGCACGGAGTTGCTGCTGGCACTTCCACGTGTAGACGGAAACGCCCACGTCGGCAATTTTGTAGCGACCCTAAGCAAATGTGAGCAAGCGAGAAAGGACATGCAAGAGCAAACATCGCAGTCGATCAGAATGTTCTCGGCCTTGATATCGCGGTGCGCGCAGCCATAGGCGTGCATGTAGGCAAGACCACACGCGACATCGTGGATGCAGCGAGCAGCTTGGTCCTCGCGCCATGGCGCCTGTTGGTCCAGCACGTCGAAGACGGCGCCGCCCGGGAGGTACTCCAAGACGAGATACACGTTCGTCGCATCCTCGAAGACTGTATAAAGACGCACGATCCGGTCGTGCACCAGCGCGAGCTGTATGTCGATCTCGCGCCACAGAGCTTCGGCTCGGCGCGGGACCTGGTCGTCGCTCTTCGCAACAACCTTGACGGCGAAGTGGCGGCCAGACGCCATGTGCTGCGCGAGGTAGACATCCGCGGATCCTCCTTTGCCGAGCTTGCGGGTGGGCGCGAGGCCGTGAGGCGCGGAGGCCAGCATCAAGGCCGTGGGAATGGCGTCCGTCGTCGTGCTCATGGGTCGCCTGCGTTCTTTTCTTATCTGAAATCTATTTTTAGCGCTGTATCCGGACTCGGTCCAGCATTTTGACCAATCCGGAAGCCGATAGCGTCAAAATGATGTGATTGGCGATCTATTCCTGCATTTGGACCAATCCACGGCCGCAACCAAGATTTGCTCAGGAGGAGCGGCTCGGTGATTGACGTCGGCTTTGACGCAATTGTACCTTGCAGGTCGTCGTCATGCAAGCGCCTGTGGACGGCGAGCGCGCCTGTCGACTTCGCGCCAAGCGACCGCTCCTGGTAGCGACCAGCGAGATGAGCGTCTGCTTGCTGGTAAATGCTATCTATGCCCATGCGCTGGCGTGCCCTGGCGCGGGTCATGGAGCATCTGCGCCAGACTGGACCTTGTCGACAGTCGATGCTGCAAGAACGACCGAGCGCCAATGCAACACATTGCGCTATGTACCTCCTCGCGCCACGATTCGCCCGAAAGCCACATCTCATGGCACCGTTTAGGACTTTGGCGCAGTTCCGCGGATCCGTCGCTCTGCAGCTGCGCGTCAAGGCGCAAGGATGGCATCGATTGCGTTCAAGGCGCGCTACGAGACGAAGACATGGGCATTGCGCGGGGTCAGCGCAAGCTAGGACATTGTTGAGCTTGCCCACATACGTCTGCGGTATCGAGTTGGGCAGCCGTAGGGACGAACCGTCACTGTAGAAGCAGCTCATCCCTCTCGTTCTTCATCGGCGCACCAGCTCGGCGCACCGAGATTGTGAAATGATAAACATTTGCCTGCGTCTCATTGGCGCGTTTTCTGGGATTATATCCAATCCAATCGGTGGTGTGAACTAGTTGCATGCACTGAGTGGTACATACCCCTATTCCCCACCATCGACGAGGACAGGTGATGGAGAATACGACAATAATGGTATGTGTACACGGATAGACCATTAGCTACCACTGCGTCCACGTCGCTGAGCCACACCTCTTTTTGATCAACGGCAAGGTCGTCGCTTCCTCGTACGCGCACGCCGAGGTGCAGCTCGACAACTTTGATGCGTAATCATTTTTCGCTATTTGCTGGCGCCACCCCCGGCCGACTTGAGGAAGGCGTCGAGGTGCTGGCCTTGGTACTTGAGGAACTCGATCTCCTCTTTGTAGCGCTTCTCCTGGAGCGCGCGTCGCTCGCTGCTTCGCTTCTCAATCACCTACACACAATCCTTCCGGTTGAAACCTTGATACATTTCACTTCAGGTCGACCTCAAGCTTGTTGGTGAGTTCGAGCACCTTGTTTTCGTACTCGCGCTTCTCTTCCGTGAGCACGTGGATCTAAACCACACGGCGTTGGTCGAGGGATCGAACCCGGCATTCGGCAGACCCGATCTTCGAGCGACCCCATGCCTTGCTCGGCTTGGAGCTGCTTGCGCACACCAAACGTAATGCTACGAGGATGGTCCTGGATGCCGCAGCCACATTATGGGTACATACCTGCTCTCGTAGAGCGTCTTGTACGCGTCGGTCGTCATGCGAATCTCATCGCGAATGCGCAAGAGCAACAGGCCGCGCTCCGGCGAGTTGATGGCGACTTCACGAATGAGCTCGTCTAGAAGAGCAAGGCTACAGGGTCATCTGCTATACATGTGCGCACCAAAGCACTGGGCGTAAATGTCTTCGCGGACGGGGCAGATGCCACTCTCGCGGGCTTGGCGCTTGAGGAGCTTGGCGTCCATTTGCTCCTGCAAGCATCATGGTCCGCGTCAAGAAGCGCATATTGTGACGTCGGAAGCGTCTACCTGGAGCTTGATGACATCAAAGCGCGTCGAGGGCTCGGCCGACGTGTAGCGCATCCAGTACCCTGTCTCTTCCTTCCACATCCTACATGCCCATGTAGAGTCGATGCTCGGGTATGACGACGTCTACTGGGGCGGCAGCATGGCGTTGAGCACATCTTCAATGCGCGCGACAGGGTCGATCTTGGCGCCCGGCGCGGCCTTGGCCTTCTTGACGCCTTCGTTGCTCTCGCCCGTAAAGATGGGCGTGTCGTAGCTCACGAGGCTCTCGGGCGGCGACGGCTCGGCCATGTCCCTTCAAGATCCAATCTCGGTGTGAATCGGAAATTTGTCAGGAAAATCCTCAGAAAATCAACCGCGACGCCAACAAGCGCGGAGATGAGAGCCGCGCGCAGGTGCTTGAAGGCGTAGGCTGGACGGAGTGGCGAAGATATGGTGGCCTGCTACTTCCCTGGCGCGTGCCACTTGAGGTTTTGCAGTCACTCCATGATTCGGCAGCAGCTGGTGCATTCGGCATACTGCGGGAGCTTTCGGCACATCACGGGCCAATTCGGCATATATGTGGTCCTGATCGTGGCATGTGCCATGTTGTTGTTGAAGTGGGTCAATGAGACGTGAGGCTCATGAAGTGGACGTTGTGTCTGTGAAAGGGACCGACTGTGTCATTAGTCGCTAAGCACAGAGGCCAAGAGGACCCGACAGAGGAGGGAGCCAAAAGCACGTGTGGATGTGGCATGTGCCGCAAGAAGAGACTGCTCATTGGTCGGATCGTGACATTGCGAACTTTCACGGGATGACCAGCTTGGCCATACAACCAGAGTCATTTGCATCTCCGCATGGACATATTGGCTGCCTTGTTCATCGAACGATACTCTAGTACATCAATACACAATCCTTGCGTGCAAAACTGGTGGCCTAAAGGTTAGTAGCGCTAGTCGAAAACGAGATGCGACTACACTTGGAGCGCTTGAACCTACTCAACCATTATGCTACTCAACCGTTGCCATTTGCGTCGCCTAGACCTTGGGAAGCTTGGTGGGCTTGGCCGACGATGGCGTCGCAAAGGCCGACACCCAGTGCGGCGGCTTACAGTTTGACCCACGTCCGGTCGGCAGGCGGAGCCATCGGGAGCTGTGGTGACCAAATTGGAGACTGACCGCGTCCACGTAGGAATTTTATTGCATACAAACCACAAGAATATCGGATAAAAATTCTGCGTGCTAGCGAAACCAACCGATGAGTGCCGCGTCCTCAGAGACAAGCAATATGAGTACGCTACCGGGCGCCGAGGAAGCGACCGTGCCCGTCGGCGATGATGGCCGTCAAGTAGTGCTGGCCACCGCGTGGGGTAGCAACCACCACCACCGCAGAGTGTGTCGACAAAGACGCATGTCAACCGTCCACATACCATGGCGCAGCTCTCATGTCGATTGCAGACAACGCCTCGCTCAAGAATGCCAGGTACGGAGCGTTCTTGATGCGACGCTCATTTGACCTGTAGAGCGGTATATGCTAAGTACTCTGTGGAAATATACGAGCGAAAGCGTCGCCGACCTCTTGGCGTCGACCACGCTTCTCTCGGTACACTTCTCACTGCATACGCCGACTGCCCAAACAATACATAAACCGGTACATGGCGATCTGTGTTGTTATGACGATCTGCGTAGGGTACGCGGCAGACGCGGCAGCCAATGCCATTGTTGTGTACTGTACGGTTTCGCGGCTGCCTCGCATCTCCCACGCGCTGTCGGCGATGCGAGGCGGCCGCCAAACGTGCCCGACCCGGACCTGCTTCTTGATTTCGTCGGGCGTGTCGTTGTCAACGTTGGAAAACGGTGGGTGGCCGACGAGAAGCCCGTATGCAAGGACACCCAGGGACCAGAGGTCCGTCTACGACCAACCATCGTCATAGCTATGGAAAATAATGTACATCGTTGTACCGTGGCGTCGTGGGGCTGACCAGCGGCAACTTTTGGAGACGTATAGTCGACCGTTCCCGCGGACCCGTGCTGCTGCTCGTCCTTTGTGTAGACGGAAAGACCGAAGTCTGCGACTTTGTAGCGACCCTAAGCAATGCCACGTATGCAATTAAGAAGGGCATGGAGCACCGTATGTTCGTTTCGACGAGAAAGCTTTCGGCCTTGATGTCCCGGTGTGCGTAGCCGAGGGCGTGCATATGCGTAATACCACATGCCACGTCGCAGACGCAGCGAGGAGCCTTGGCTTTAGGTAGCGGACCTTTGCGGAGCAAGTCGTAGACGGAGCCAAGCGAACTCGCTATCCATCGCGCCCTTGCCCACGAGAGAATTGCATATCTCTTTGCGTCGCTCGAGAACGCTGGGAGCCCTATCCTCGTGATGGAGTACCTCCATCACGAGCAATATAGCGAAAACCCCAACGTGCTCGGCGATCAAGGATTCTCCTTTGCCAGTGGAGCAGGCCACTGCGTCGCTTGGCTTGACGATCGATTACCGGATCGGCGAAGGATCGTCAGGAACTGTCTACCTGGCCCATCACTCGGCGTCCGGCCACCAATTTGCCGTCAAGCAGATCGCAGAACCAGTCGAGCTGCCAGCCGCTGGTCGGCCCTTTTTCCAAGACTGTGCGCAGCGCGAACGAACAACGAATTCGCGCTGCACACAGTCTTGGAAAAAGGGCCGAACAGCGGCTGGCAGCTCGACTGGTTCTGCGATCTGCTTGACGGCAAATTGGTGGCCGGACGCCGAGTGATGGGCCAGGTAGACAGTTCCTGACGATCCTTCGCCTATCAGGTAATCGATTGTCAAGCAAGCGACGCGGTGGCCTGCTTCACTGGCAAAGGATAATCCTTGATCGCCGAGCACGTTGGGGTTTTCGCTATATTGTTTGAGAACGATTCATTGAAGGCTGTAGGTACCTTGCACTTTTCGGGCCTTCTTCGGGGGAAACAGCGCCGCCAGCTCGTCCATCGCAGCGTCTTCTGATGACTTCTTGCGCTTGGTCGTGCGTGACGCGTCTGCCGCAGTTTGCAAAGTACACTAGGAACATCAAGAAAGAAGAGCTCGAGTAGTCAAGATAGATATTGCACCTTTCGCCCGATGGGCCGCAAGTTGACCACTGTCTTGACCACGCCTTGCGCATTCGCACGTGTCTTGTACCGCATATACACATGCTACATATTGCATGCTCGCTGACGACGCCGTCGCTCGCCAATGTGCGTACCTTTTCGACCGCGTGCTCGATTTTGCGCACGAGGGCGTGCTTCGGCTCCAGTGAGAGCCCGAGCGCGCTCGCGAGACTTCTGATGTCCTTCAGGCTTAGGCCTCCGAAGGACGCGCCGTCGGTTGCAGCCTTGAGCTGGGCCCAGTGCTCGGGCGTGCCGGGCGCGCTGTCGAAGGCGTAGCCCTCGTGTGTGGCTGCTGCATGCAACGCGGTTTGGCCTCAAATTTTTCTGCTCGATATCATTATGCGTCATTCCGGATAAAGATGCGGGGAGAATATCATATTGGGAGAATATGGGCACCATATTCTCCCAATATGATATTCTCCCAATATGATATTCTCCCCGCATCATGGGCGACAATGCGCCACACGCGGTCAACGTTTGCCTCGAGATGCACTGTGATCCGTCGTCGCGCGTCAACATCTTGAGCCAGATGCGGCTGCGTGAGCATCACGGTATTTTGGCGTCGCTCTCGGGGGACAATCTCGTCATCGCAGCACGGATATGAAGCTCGTCGTCCACTTCCGCGACGGGTTTTACCGCCTCCGTGTCGCACGTCGAGCCGGCCGAGCCCGTGCTTTTTACGGGCCTCGAGGTTCAGTGCGCGACGGACTGATAGGCCACCCCGTCTCAGTGGGCCAACTGCATAGTGCACACTACTTCAAGGCACAACAAGGCTTTCCAGAGGTTGCAGACATCGTAAATGTTTCTATCCTCGTCCGGTTTTGCATTTGGAGTTGTGTAGCTCGAGAAATGGCGAAAAAACACAATCTAGGCATCGTTCAGCAACCTTCTCCGAACACGATTTCTCTATCCAAAAAACGCAATCTGGGGGTGTCGGAAAGATAAGCCACTTGTCGTTATTGGGCGCCCACGTGGACAATCGCGTGTCTTAATACTTCGTCTTCTTACCATTTCTTTGGATGACTTGTAAGCAGCGGTGGGGCATGCTCGTGATGAGGTTGTCGATGACTTGGCTGATTTCGAGCCAGGCGGTATGGATCGCGGAAATGAGGCTTTCGCGGTCCAAAAACTGACGTCGGTTGGCGTAAACTTGTCGGGCTAGGATGGCCCAGAGGTTCTCGATCGGGTTGGGGTCAGGAGAGCGCGCTGGCCACGGCAAAACATCGATGTCGACAAACCACCCGCGAGTCTCGCGGGTGCAGTGGATCGACGCGTTGTCTTGCTGAAAAGTGAAGTCGAGACCGTGATGCTCGTGCGCAAACGGCAGCATGTAGTCCGAGAGCGTGCACGTGTACGCGTACCTGTCTTGCTTGCCCTCGAGAGTGCGAAGCTCGAAGGGACCAGAGGCCGAGAAGGCACCCCAAACCATGACAGCCACCGTCAAATTGGCGTCGCGAGAACCACTGCTTCTCGTGATCCAAGTGGTGCCAGTAGCACTGCCAGCCGGTAGGACCATCGAGATTGAACTTCTTCTCGTCGGAGAAGATGACATTGGACCAATCTTGGCCCCCGACGACCGCCTCGAAGGCAAACCGAAGTCGGGCTTCCACATGAGCTTTCGTGAGCCGAGTCGCTTCTTGAAAATGAACTTGGGATGACCTTGGATCAGCCGCTGAACTTGCCGGACCCCAATGGGGAGGTAGGGAGGTCGTGAGCTGGAGGGCGGACATGCGCAGCTTCACGTTGAGGGGCCCGGAAGCCGGTCGGTGACATTCTTGGGTGGCCGTCCGGGCGACTTTGCAGTGCCGTACTTGTCCTTCTTGGCAAGGCAGTTGCGCACAACCGTGCGGGAGCGACCAATTTCCTTCCCGATGGCACCATTCAGCGGTGAGGAGCGCGAGGATTTGGGCCTGCTTGACCTCGGTCACGCTCGTGCCTTTGCCCATCGCGCAGCGGGAGAACGAGGTCGTAAGTGGGCTTGGTGGTCTCGCACGGTTCCTGCTGTGCTTATGCAGGCAGAGGAACAAAGGAATATGACCCACGAGGCAACCAGACAAGCAAAATGCCACGAAATCATCAAGTGGCCTATCATTCGTACGCCCCTGATTTTGGACTTAGATGGGTTTCGACCAACTCAGAAGGCAGATCACCATGGGACTTCTTTAACGTTTCAAACCATTCGCTGCCTTTTGGTCGGCGCAACCCGCGTTACTGGCAACGTTCGCGAAACGTTAGATACGGCCGTGACGGGGGTAGCAAGACGCCGTTCCAAGCGCTCATGGGCAAGGCGCCTGACGTGACGCACTTGCGTCCTTTCGGGTGCGTCATGACCATGTTCCTTGGGCCGCACCGTCGTGCCTCGAAGATCGCGCGACGCGCGCAATTGTGCATCTTCCTCGGCTACGATCAAGAAAATCGTGGCTACCGGCCCCTCAACCTTCGGACCGGCAAGCTTTGAGAAGGTGCGCTACGACAACGTGTGCGTCTCCGAGGACCAGACGGTCGAAGGCGCATACGTCAAGAAGGTCCTCCTACGCGCCGCCAACCCCGATGTTGGTGGCATCTCGTCTTTGGTCCCGTTTTGTACACTGCCGGTCATGGAGATGCCGGAGACGTACGTGCCGCTGGTCGACTCGGCCCGACCCGCCGCTGCGCCGACCAACTCGCGCGGCGACGATTCGATGGTCGATGCGAGTCCATCGCTGGACGACGCCTGTGCTGCTACAGTGGCGTCTGGTAACCGACGTCGCATTGTGTACCGCGAAGACGGGGAGGACGCGCCCTGTGGGAGGACGCAAGCGCCGCCGTCGCGGCAGCATGCGTCCCAAGCTCACGTTCCCGGTGGCGCCGGCCAAGCGCCCGCGCAAAAACACGCGCCCGCAGCGCTAGGAAGAGGCGCATCGTGCTCCAACCCGGTTCGTGCTTCTTACGGACGACGACGAGAAAGAGTTTGACGTGCCGCAGTCGTACAAGCAAGCCCTCGCGTCGCCCGAGGCCGACAAGTGGCGTAAGGCGATGCTCGAAGAGTACAAGTCGCACATGACCAACCGTACGCGGCGCCTTGTGTCGCTCCAGTGGGACGCAAGGTGCTCAACTGTCGCTGGCTAATCAATCTCAAGGTCGATCGCGACGGCAACCTGCGCTCCAAGGGCCGTCTCGTGATCAAGGGCTTCGAGCAGATCTTTGGCCTCGACTACGACGAGACGTACGCGTCGGTCATCCGCTTTGAGCGCGCCATCCTGCTCTATCGACTCGTCGTTGCGCCAGACCCTACGCGACGTCAAGTTCGAGATGCTACTTGTGCTGGCCTTCAACGAGGAGCTCGTTCGATCTGAGACCGACGACCCGCACGCCGACCGATGCCCTCGAGTCGACTCCGTCTACTTCGCAAGCTGCCACAACGTTAATCAATCTTTTCGATCTCTACGCCAGCAACGATGAGACCGAGTTGGGCATCACCATCGCTGGAACACTTGGGTCTGCAGCGGCGGCCAACAAGCGCAAGCATTGTGACTACTGTAGATGGGAGGCGCTACGGAAGAGCTGTAAACGCACCCACCGAGCTCCGAGTTCGGTCCTACATGGCGTTGATTGGCGCGAACGTGGCGGGCTCGGAATCGTGAAATATCGGATTTAAATTCGACAAAGGATTTGTATGGGATGCCACGAGTTTTGCAATACATGCTGGCAAGTGCAGACGGGTAGGGTATTCTCTTGTGGTTTGTAAGAAATACAATTGGCATGCGGAACGTATCTTGGACGGCTGACGAGTGGTTGACCAGTTTTGTCGAGGCCAATGGCCGCATGTCCGGCTACGTGGCCGCCGCCAAATGCCGCCTCAGCTTGTGGCAGGTCGCCCAGTGCGCGACCGGCGCCGGTCTCGATCACACGTGCATCAACAACCATCGCCACCTCCTCGAAGCCTCGTTTCTCGCAGGTGTCGACATGGACGCGAAGCGTCTTCGATACGTTTGAAGTCAGCGACAAGCCCGTCTGGCAGCAGTGCTATGGTCTCGTGCGCAACAAAATGGACGCGCACGGAAGAGAAGCGCGAGTACGAAAACAAGGTGCTCGAACTCACCAACAAGCT